TATGACTTTTTGGTTCAATTAATGAAATATCTAAAGTTCTTGATTTTGATGAGTGCCTGTTCAATTTTAAAAGAAGTATGTGTTTAATCTTATTCAATTTTAAGAAGAAGACTTAATCTTAATGTATTGTGTTGTTTATGTGTTGTTTATAGAAGGCTTAAGTTCAATTTTTATGTAATATGGTATGTGGCATGTGAGATTGTTTATAGAAGACTTAAGTTCAATTTTCATATAGAATTATGAGATTTGTTATGATAAAGAAATCGTAGATTTGCTACAAAAATGTTATTGATATAATATAGAGCATCCTGGTTTCACGAGCCTGATAACTACTCAAGAATAATTGAATAAACAAGAAATTTCAAAGTGGAGTAATTTCATGCTTATTTTTAACTTGTAATCTAAGTCATATCAGCCCAAAACAGTATGGAGAATTTATTTTAACAATGCCAACACCAAAATCTCATTTCAAAACAAACTGGAAAACAATAGATCTCTCTCTCTCTCTCTCTCTCTCTCTCTCTGACACAGTCACAAACTGAGAGCATCTTGAAAGAATTAGGATTTTACTAAAAAAAAATAAAAAATTAGGGATTTTGCTCTCGTAAATATCAAAGTAGAAGAAAGATTGCGGCTATTGTACATAACACTATTACAGCTATTGTCAGCCATAATTCCTTAGAGATCATTAATTTTCTGAAACAAAGTAATAAAAAAAAAAGAATCAATCATGAAGATTCATATCAATTTACCACTTAATGTGAACACTGTATAGAGAGAGACTGCCAAATCTCATAAGAAACCATGAAAGGGAGATAAATAAACCTAAAATTGGCAAATACAAGATATATTTACCCTAAATTGGTTGAAATGCTACAAAGTACTCAAAAAAATAAAATTGGGGAAAGATTTATTACCTCAAAGATTTGATGAGATGATGGAAATGAGGGAGAGAGAGACCCCGTTAGAGATTGAGCGCTAGAAATGTTGAGGTGGAGAGGCAGAATAGAGCCCTAAAACGGTAGAAGCATAACCGTAAAGGAGAAAATGGTCTTCGGCATTTCGAGTGCCGTAATACAATTCAACTTCTTACGGTAATAAAAATACCGTATAACATCGTTAGATTTTTACGGTACTTAAAGTACCGTAATATTACTTTAAGTTATTACAATATTTTAAATACCGTATAAAATCCAATATGTATTACGGTAGTATGACTACCAGGAAGGTTATTTTGGTAAAAAAAAAGAGCCCAAAATGAGAAGAAAAGGGTGTCAACAATGTTTACGAAAATTGGGGTTTTTTTTTTTTTCCAATTAAATTAAAATTAAAGTATATTTGGATAATTTCCCTAAACAATAAGAAATTTTTTTAAAATATTAGAAGCAATAATAATCTACCAAGCAATGAGCAAGTAATTATAACCCAAAACTGTAATAATAAAAATGAAAAATACAATCCGATATTTTAAAGCCCTAATTTCCAAAACCACCAACGTAAAAACATATTTTTTAAATCTATTTTTTGTATTTTTAAAGTAAATAAAAAAACTCACATCGTGTCGAACCTTGGCCAAAATCTCGCTGTAAAGCCGTCGGTGGAGGGAAGAGAGAGAGAGGAGAGAGAGATACCCTTTTCCTCTCTATTAATTTCACTTTTATGAAACCCCAAAATTTCAAAGAGTAACTCTTTCCTCTCAATTAAGTTTTCTATTATAAAACCCTAAATTTTCGTTTCCACTTTTTACCAATTTTGAAATACAATAAGATCAAAAGACCACCTTGTAGCCCTTTTCGATTTAAGAAAATTGAAAAGAAGGGGCCAACAAATGTTTTTTTTTTCTCCCCATAGGGGACCGGCCAATCCAGTTATTTGACTGGCCAGTCCAACCGTCCAACAATGGTTCATTGGTTTCATAATTCGTGGGGATGGACGGGACTGGGAATGGCACCAGACATCAGTTCCTGATTTGAACTGACCAGCCCAGTCCGATTATGATAACATTTTTTGTTTTGAAAATAGGCTATATTCATTTAAGATAATGGGTTACAACAAAAGGTAAAAGAAAATAAAGATAAGAGGAAAATGATAAAAGAACAAAAGGAAAAATAAGAAATGAAAGGAAAAAGAAAGGGCAAACTAAGCAAAGGCTAAGATGAACATGAAGAAACTAAGCAAAAGCTAAGAATGTGGGCAAACCAAGCCTCCTTAGCTGAGGAGTCCACATATGAGTTGGCACCACGATGAACATGAAGAAACGAAATATCATGGTCCCTAAGAACCCAGAGAATTTCATCCATGACCAGATTAGGCTGGATGCATCACGAGATAACATTGGCAGAATCCCCAAAGGCTAAGATGAACATGAAGAAACTAAGCAAAAGCTAAAAATGTGGGCAAACCAAGCCTCCTTAGCTGAAAAGTCACGTACACCACGATGAACATGAAGAAACGAAATATCATGGTCCTTAAGAACCGGGAGAATTTCATCCATGACCGCACTAAACCGCCACGGAACCAGATTAGGCTGGATGCATCGCGAGATAACATTGGCATAATCCCCTTCAATGATCACTTTCTGATGATTATGGTCTAGGTAGAACACACCCATCCTAAGGGCCCAAAGGTCAGCTTCATTAATCTCGTGAGGATGGAGGCAACCTAAATAAGACCAAATCAAATAGCTGGTATTGTCTCGCAGTTGGCCTCCAAAAACCAGATCCCCTTACAATTCCATCAAAATTAAGTTTGAACCAACCTTCCGGAGGTTTTGTCCAAACCCGATGAATCAAAGGGTGGCTCTTCCTAAAAGTCAGAAGGTCTTTGATGTGGGTAAAAAAGAGAAGGCTAGGAACCGCAGTCAATGGAAGAGAAGTGTAAGCCCAACAACAAACCGTTGAATAGCCGACCGCAGAGTGGGAAAATCCCTTGAATGGCTTTCAAAGGTTCTTTGATTTCCTTCTTTCCAAAGGACCAAGAGAGAAGCAGCAATAGTAATTCTCCATAGATTAACCCCCAGAGACGCAAAAGGAGAGTTCCAAATTTGCGATTACATTGAGAGAAACAACTTGAAACCTAACTTGCTCTATAAGAAATCTTAATCAATATTAAATCCTAAAAATTCATTCTTTAAAACTAAAGTTTCTAGTTTTACCTATCAAATATGGACACCCTAACTTAAATAATAAAAGATCATATAATCTAAACTTATTTTTCGTATCTAAAAATAAACAAAATTAAATAAAAATCCATTATTAACCCGAGCTCTTTCTCCTAGAGTTAGGGGACTTGAGCTTGTTTTGCTTAGTGCATCCTACAAAGGTCATTTAAATAGTTAGTCACAATGTCCTGGGTACTTTTGTCTTATTCAATTAACCAATGAATCAAACACTTAAATAAGCAACTCACACTAGAACTCTAGGATGTCAAGTGTGATCTTCATTTCACTTTCAAACTCTTCTAACAAGTCACTTCAATAAAAGAAATTTTCAACTGAACTCAACAAATCAATAGCATCCTTAATGTAGACCTTACCATAAAACTTGGGGACTGGACCTTAATAATAATATCTCATAAACACTCTGAAAGTTGTGGCTTTTGCAACCAAATTTGCTCATTATGTGTGGGACCATTCACTGAAGTTGGCGCTAGACTTCGATTGATCTCAGAGTTGAGATTTGGTGAGGAATCCACTTGATAAGGAGAACCTTTTTCTTGGTGATTAGTTTTGTTTCTAAGCAAACATTGATCTATTTCATCACTCTCTCCATCAATTTAGCAAATTTGAATTCCTTTTTAGCCTTATTAATAGTATCCATAATTGCCGATTCGCACCCTCTTTAAGGGGATGTTGATAACATAGAAAACAAGGGACAGTCTCACACTTTCTCCTAAAGTGTAGTTTTCACCCATTTGATAACAGTAAACTTAGGAAAAATTAGAACTTATTTTTTTTTATTTCATTATAATATAATATAATATTTGTTATAATAAATATTATTATAATAATATTATATAAGATATAATATTATAATAATATAATATATGATATATATTATACTAGTTGCCAAATAGGTGAAAATAGTAGCACCACAATTATCAAAGAGGCCCCCAGCTTTCAAGCGACCAAGTCTCATCTGAATCCAAAAATCTAAGAAGTTAGCAGTAGGAAAAATGTCAAAAAAACCGTAGAAAGTTTTTCAAACGCACTCTAAGTTCATTATTCACAACATTCAAGCACGCTTTAGCAACATCACTGCTCTTTTCACAAGACCATAAGTCAATTTTCCTCTCCCTCCCTCTCTCTCTCTCCATTACTTGTCACCAATTACGTCTCTCTCTCCATTACTTGTCAACAATTACATATTCCCTCCATTACTTGTCAACAATTACCTCTCTCTCTCCATTACTTGTTAACAATTACATATTCATAAGAAAAAACTAAAAACCATAGTCAATATCAATTCCCCCTTTGTCTTTTAAAAAAATTAAAGTTCCAATTTTACTTATCAATTAGAAAACGGACAGAAAAACCCTAAAACAATAAAAGGCCATATAATTTAGACCAAATTTTGGTATCTAAAATGAAATAGAGTTTTTCTTGTTAAATAATAATACTAATAATAATAAAACCAGTATATAAAGTGAGATATCTGTTTAGAACAAAGTTTTCGACCACAATATCATGCATTCTTAGTTTGATAAAATCAGTATGACCACAATATCATGCAATGTTTTGCAACATTTTACCTATACCACTGCAACGGTTCTATATAAAAACACACTGATTTTGCAATGTTTTCTGCATTATTTATGGCTTCAGTGGTATAAATTCCTTATAGTATTATCATGAAATGATTTCAGGGGTTGTATACAATTTACTGTCCAAAGTTTAAAGAACAAACTCAAGGAAAGGGTTTAGCAGGCCACATTTGTTCTGGCATGAGTTTAAGACGTTTCAAAGAGGGTGTACATCGAATTTCTCCTTCCAGCAACCAATCAGAAGCACCTCCCATGAATCATATACGAGAAGAAAGGGAAGGGTGGGGAAAAAAAAAAGAATTACATTGTAATCAGGAGGTCTCCATGTATAGATCATAGAAAACTCATCTAATTTTCAATTCAGTGACAGAAATTACTCTCCCCGATCAAACATTTAACGAACCCAATAAAAGAAAATAAACACTACTTGTACAAAAATGCTATCTATTACAACCAACTTTTGAAAATTTTGATGTATGCTATCTTGGCAAGCTGACCAACGACAAAATACCCAGGAAAGAGCACAACCAAGAATCCAAAATATGACAATGGCAAGCTGTCCAAACCCATCACTCTACCTGGTGGCGTGAATGGAAATGCGATCCCAACCAATGAAACAATGATTGTTGAGCAAATCACTGACCACGATGCAGACTCCTGCACAAAGGGGATCTTCTCTGTCCTAATCATGTGGATTATGAGTGTCTGCATAAGAAGCCCCTCAACAAACCAAGCTGACCTAAAAAACTTCGAATTCTCGAGGGTCCCTGCTTGATAATACAAACATAGGAAAACAAATGCAGCCATGTCAAAAACTGAGCAAACAGGTCCATTCCAAAGCATGAACATGATTATCCCCTTAGGGGACCACTGGTGAGGGATGCTTATATACTCTGGGTCCATCTTATCCCATGGGATCATTATCTGGCTCACATTGTAGAGGAGGTTTTGTGTGAGGAGTTGCATGGGACTAAGGGGCTCAAATGGCAAGCACACAGAGGCCACGACCAGGGAAACCACGCTCCCTAGGTTGGCCACCACAGACATCTTCAAATATTTCATGGTGTTGCCATGAATGACTCGACCACGCTCCACACCCGCAACAAGTACATTGAGGTCCTTTTCAAGAAGGATAATATCAGCAACATCCTTGGCCACTGAAGCTCCTGAGTCAACAGAGATTCCCACATCGGCAGCCTCTAAGGCCAGTGAATCGTTTATTCCATCACCCAAGAAGCCAACAACATGGTTTTCGGTCTTTAGAGATTGAACAACTTGGAGCTTTTGGGTGGGAGTCAAGCGAGCGAGCACTGTGGCCCCTTTGATGGCCTCATGGAAGTTGTCCTGGTCGAGGGACTCGAGGGCAGGCCCAGTTATGACGTTGGAGGTGTGAATTCCGACCTCTTTGCAGATTCTGATGGCTAGGGGGAGGGAGTCACCGGTTAGGACCTTGGCATTCACCCCTCTCTCGGCAAGGCGCCATAGCGCCTGCTTCACAGAGTCCTTCGGGGGGTCAAAGAATGCGAGGATGCCGAGGAAAACCATGTCAGACTCCAGAGCTTCATTATTGGTCCCCAGAGTGGATTTCACCTATTCATCAATGAACTGAAAATAAAGCGACAGAAAAAATTTATGTTTTCTGTTTTTGTACATTTTTTAACTCTTCTTTTCCTTGTTTTTTTCTTTTTGTTTTAGTTGCTTGGGTACCAGTGTGGGGTTTTAGTTTTTTTGGGGGAATGGGGTTTATTTTTAATGCGGGTGGGGGGCAGGGATCTCAGGGGAAGGGAAGCGGGGAAAAGACTATAATCCAATGAACGATGGCAAAACCATAAACCAAAGTAAGTACAGATGGAGGTAAAAAGAGGGTGAGAGCCACCTGTTCTGAGGGGTTACACTGTTTACATCACCAAAATTGTTCATAAGGATGTTGATTACCTAATTGAATATGGGTTTTTCTTAGTCCGTTGGAAAATGGTATGTTACCTTTTATCTTACATAGGTAATCACTAAATTCGATAAAGATACATAAATAAAGTTGTACCAAACAGTACAGACACAAAAATAGAGAACAACAAGCAGGGAAGGAAAGCCAAAACATAGACCAGGTTGGCAGGAAGGCATGGAATCTCGAAAAGGGTGAGAGTTTAATCCCACTACCTAAGCTATGGAGTCTCAAACATCACTAGCCTCTCTAAGACCATGCCAGAAAGTAATTTCATCAAATCCACTAATATAAAAAATATCCTTAAATCTGTAAAGCCTTTTTAATTTTTTGGATATTGGCTAAAAGAGATACATTTACCTGCAGTGAAGTTCTCTGATTTTGGGTAAAGATAAAACCGGTTCCAGTAGTTGTAACCAGTTTAGGCTGTCTATCTAATACTGGCAGAAGCCAAGAGAAACTTCAAGTAAAATTGTCAAACATGGTATGTGAGACTACAAATCAGTATGACAAACAAAAGGGCCAACCACATGCAATGGATGTTTCTTAAGTTTTAAAAATGGATACCACAAAATGAGAATGCTTCAAAGTTAATCGAAAGCCAATTTTCTAAGAGAAGAATGTGTGTCCAAAGTAACTTCAGCGTCTATCATTGGAGTGCTTACACCAAATAATATACAGAGAATAATCCAAATGAATTTCTGCCAGGCTCACTGACATTCAAACCTGGAATCCATCCAATGTAATGCTAATAAAGGTATGTATGGGAGAGAATTTACATGGAAGAATGAAAACATATTTTTAGGTACAATGACAAGGATGCAGAAAGGCTATCGATTGTTCAAACTGATTGGAAAATTATTGCATGGATAAGATATGCAAGTTTTAAGAAAATAATGTACCATTCTTAGCCTTCTTGTAGCCACTCCAAGTACTCTCAATCCATCGTTGCTCAAAGCATCACCCATCTGAAGGATTCTTTGACAGTCATCTGAAGAGATTGATACAATTAACCCTTTCTCAACATCCTCGATATAGTTGCAAATCCTTACTACTTCTTCAAGTGCTCCTTTAGTTATTATAAGCCTAAGTACTGGATCATTATTATATATATGAGCAAAACTATTTCCATTGGTTTCTAAAATGACAGACATTCTCCGCCGAGCAAAACTAAAAGGAATCTCATCTAAATTGCACCATTTTAAAGGTTGAAACTTGTATCCACCAGTATAAACAAATGCCAATATCGCATCATCTATAGGATTCTTCATTTCAGTCTTGAAGTAAGAATTAAGAAACGCAAAATGAAGGATCTTCTCTCTGGGTACACCCCAACCATCAAGGTGATGAAACAATATAACACGATCCATGGTGAGCGTACCAGTCTTGTCCAAGCAAATGATATCCCTGAGCCACAAGAAAGAATTTCAATAATAATCCAGACAAAAATATCCAAAACCTATGGTTAACATAATGCACTTAGATTTGTAGCAGTTCAAGGGGGCTAGTATGACTGCCACGCCAAGCATTAAATTTTATAGGAAAAGGATTTTATAGGAAAAGGAAAATTAAATCATAATTATTAGGACTAGGGAAAATCCATAGTCCATGAGTCATCACATCCATTAATGATTGAAAGTAATGGAGAGAGAGGAACCCACAATTGGGATTACATCTTATTCTGGTGGGCCAAAATCTCTCTTCATAATCATTTCATAGAATAATGATGAACTCACCAAATAACTATGAAACATTGCCTCGAAGTTTATCCTATACTTCCGGATGATAAACTTACATAGCCCCCATATTCTGGATTGCAACTTGGCTTTTAACTATGCACCTGTCTCTAGCCATTGCAAGAGCTCCTTTTGCAAGATTGGTATTCACAATTAGAGGAAGCATCTGTGGAGTAAGCCCTACAGCCACTGAGATGCCGAAAAGGATACTGGAACTCAAGATATGTGAAGAATAGAAATCTATACAGACGACGATAGGGACAATTAGAAGCATGAAGCATATGAGTGCATAAGACACACGACGGACACCCTTCTCAAAGGAATCCAGCATTTTTTGTCTTCCTAGACTGGAAAATATGGTGCTCATGTATGTTTTAGATCCAGTGGAAACAACCAATCCAGTGCCGGAGCCTGCTATTACACTGGTTCCCTGTATTTGAATGCAGTTCACTGAATAAGAACATTTCGAGACTTCCAACAAACACTTATGAACAAAAGGGAAAAGTATACTATAATCTACTGAACCATGAAGAACCATGGCCTATTAGGAAATCACCATCCAATTAAAAGATGGATGGCGATGGAGAGAAAGCGGAGTGTACCATCAGGATCATGTCCTTTTCTAATGGGTCCGCTCTCTGTCCATCACCTTCCATCGTTTGAATTAATGTGAAGACCCCAAGCACTATAATATTTCCATAGCCATTGGATCATAGTAATGGCCCCTTCACAATAACATTATATCTACTTGTACAAACTTGATATTGGAAATGTACCATAAAGCATATATTCCTTAGCTCCAGCAAGGGAGTAGATGGGTCCTCTATAATGTCTGCAACCTTTTCCATAGTCCCAGATTCCCCAGTTAAAGAAGACTGACTGTTCAAGAACGAGAAATTTTTGCCATGCTTCTTAGAGTATTGATTAGGGAAAAAATAAAAAAATAAAAAAGAGGTGACCAACAGAATCAATATGCATCTTTTAGGAAAGAATGAGAAATTATTCCATTAGGCCTATACCTTACTACCAAATCTTTAGATGTTAATAACCGTACATCACCAGGAAAGAGGTCTCCCGAACTGAAGAGAATAATATCACCAGGAACCACCTCCCGTTGATCAACATGAACTTGTAATTCGGTCTGTACAACTCTCCCAGCACATCTCTGAACTATAACAGGTGAATTTAAAAGTTCTGAGAGCTTCATTGCAGCCTTCGAACTACTGAACTCCTGGAAAGAAAATCATATTAATCAGCAGCTAAAGCCAAATCTAGAGATGACACTTTGTTTAACAAAATTCCTATTTCTTTTACATGCATCATATACATAAAATTCAAGAAGGAGAGTAAGAAAATCGCAACATAAGAAACTAAATACTACCTGGTAAAATCGAAGCCCAACACTAACAAAAACCAGTGTGAGCATAATACTTCCATTGCCATTATCACTAGTTAAGTATGATAGAGAAGCTAAGGCAAATAGAATAATATTGAATGGATGAAATATTGCAGTCCATAGGAGTTTCCACCATCTTGGGAAAGTAATATCCAAGGGTATATTTCGGCCAACTTCTTTAAGCCGCCTGTCTGCCTCCTTAAAACTCAAGCCTGCACAGAAGCCAACTGTAACCCATTCAATATGACAAAATACAAGTTAGGAAAACTATATTTAAGCCAAAAAAAATAAAGGAAAAGAAAGAAAAAAGCGCTGGTAAGCAGAGAAACAAAACCAGCCAGTTCCTTTTAAATGGCTCTTAAGACCCAAGAGAAAATGATTTCAAGTTCATAGAGTAAGGGCATAGTGGAGCAGCAAAGCAAAAGAGTATATGATACATCATTCTCTAATTCTACTCATAAGCATAACATAAGTTAGACTTGGCTCCTATTCAGGATTAATATCAATTGGGCCGTTTCAACAGCAAGTCATGAGATCGTGGTGATCCTTAACAACTTAGCCAAAAGTTTTTCCATCAGAGAAAGGTTCGCAACACTTGTAAATAACCTATATATCATCAATAAAGGCAAAATAAATGTTTTTTTTTTTTGAAAGAATAAAGGCAAAATAAATGTTAATGCTTAAATCTCCATGTGAGTCAGTTCAAAATTTCAAACCAATTTAATCCAGAAACCTCATTTGAATGCCCTAAGAAGCCAAGCTTAAGGCCCTTAAAACCTCAAGAGCTAGATAGTTTACAAACATTCCATAAAATCTAAAGAGAGCTCATATATTTGTAAAATGATGAACAAAGTTTTTGGTATTTTTTCATTTGAATTTGTTTCCACCCTGTAAGGGATATTTTAGTCATTTTACAATGATATCCTGCATATAAAGGGGATTCTGCCCCTTATTTCTCATTAATAAGCCCCATCACTTCTAAATTTGGCCTATATTAACATGATGCCAAAGTCTCTCGCACACTAATTCTAGAAATCCTGGAAGCCCAAATACATTCAAGATCCAAGAGGAATGAATTACAAGAAACTCCTTTCAAAGAAATCTGAGCAATCCCATCGATGAAATGCAAACACAAACATTGATGATTTGTTCATTGTGCCTCATAATGACTTGCAAAATTCACAAGCATCAATTAAAAAACCAAGTATTGGTAGCCTAAGGAAAAGAGTACATGTAATGTGATGCATGGAAACAAAATGTATGTCAACAACATGGAAGAAACATATGCCATATGTCCAAAGAGTAATTTCCCCTATAATAAAATGAGACTCAACTTCAACATGTTTTATGTGTTCATGAAACAAAGAGACAAAACTTGAAGGAAATATAAATGGCTCTGATATTGTCAACTTTGAGCAGAGTAGCAAACTGCAAAGCAAATTCTATAGATATAAGAGGACAATGTGGCTTAACACTCTAAACCAGCACATTCATAAGATTAGGATATCTGAAGTGAAAGAAGTTTTGTGAAAGATGAACATAAGAAAGGCTATATAGACCAGATGGTATCCCGATAGAGGTTTGAAAGTGCTTGGAGAAGATTGGCATATGCTGGCTGACCAAGCTATTCAATAATGCGTTGAGAACAAAGAAAATACCAGTCGAATGGAGGAAAAGTATTTTGGTACTTATTTACTAGAACAAAGGCAACGTACAAAATTTTACGAACTATCGATAGATAAAACTTATGGGAGAGAGTGATCAAGCAACGACCAAGGCATGAAACGAGTGCATCAGAAAATCAGTTTGGTTTTATGCCAGGGAGGTCAACAATTGAGGCTATTTTCCTAATTAAGCAACTAATTGAGAAGTTCAGAGAGAAGGGCAAAGACTTCAATATCGTTTTTATTGATTTTAAAAAAGCACAAGATAGGGTACCTAGAGATTTAATTTCGTGGTTGTTGGAAAAGAAAGGAGTTTTCAGGGGCTATATTGACACGGTGAGAGATATTTACAAGGGGGCTTTAGCTAGTGTGAGGACAACAAATGGAGAGAAGTGAATTTTTAGCTACAATAGGGCTACATCAGAGGTCAGCATTGACTCCATATCTCTTTGTTTTGGTTATGGATGAGTTAATTAGTCACCTACAAGACGTACCTTGGTGCATGCTGTTTGCAGATGCCATAGTTTTGATCGATGAGATTAGAGGAGGGGTCAACACAAAGTTAAACTTTGGAGGAATGCTCTAGTATTTTAAAATTAGTCACACTAAGACAAAATATATGGATATGCAAGTTTAGTAATAATAAGATTAAAAACGAGGAAGTAGTTAAGATTGATGGCCATGAAATACCTAAAAACGGTTATTTGCGAGACCAGCTATGCCTTATGGGATAAAATGTTAGGCTATCAAGAAAAACCATATCCATAAGATGAGTGCAACTGACACGAGGATGTTGAGATGGATGAATGACAAGACAAGAACGGATAAAATCTGAAATGCATACATTTGAAGGAATTTAGTTGTGGCTTCAATAGGCGATAAGATGAGGGAAAGTAGATTGAGGTGGCTGTTCATGTGTAATATAGACCTAATACAACCCTGATAGGAGATATAATTTGTTTCAAGTAGAAGGCTCTAAAAGGGCAATGTAAAGGCCCAAAAGGAGATGGATGGAAGTAGTGAGAAAAGATATAGTTAAATATGATCTTACGGAGGGTATGACCCTTGATAGAGCAGAATGGCAGAATAGGATTCATGTAACCAACTCCAAATAGTTGGGATAAGGCTTGGACGATGATGATGATGATGAATGAATCCAAGAAAAATACAGCAAAGCAAGTCATAAACTGCCTTGGATCTAAGCTAGTAAGCCATTTTACATTGCATAGGCAACAAGCATAACAGGAGATGAGAAAAAGCTTGCATTTCAATATATCCTTTAATGGTCCCATATTAGGTAGTGATATAAAGTCAACACTGACTTAGAACTAGCTCAGTCACAATAGAGAAAGTATTTCCCTTTCTTTAAATAGAAAAAATATAGTACGGACAAAATGAGAAATATAACGGTTTCTTATAGGAAGGTATATGAAGCTCCACGCAAGTGCTAAATGTACTAGGATACACTAAGCAAGTTCCATTGAACTATGAGCAAGTCTCGACCCACTTTATTCTTAGCAGAAAAAGGGTGATTATAACGAGCATATTTCAATTGGCTAACAACATATGCATTACGCAAATTGTAACTTTTTGAACCCTAAATATTTACTAAGACCCCTAGATCCTTCACTGATATTGTTCTTGTAAAACATTCCTTGAGTGACATACCTATAAGCATTCCAAATCTTTGAATGTGATGCAGGATTTCACCTCTACCTGTTCTTCCTGTTGAAGATATGCTGTTCCTCCTCTCCTCTTTGGAGAATATTCCTAAATCGTCCTTTTCATCTATTTCAAAGCCTTTTCTCTTTACTCTTTCACTTAGTGAAATCTGTGATTCCCACACCCATCCTCGTGCAGCCTGGTATAACTAAGAAGCATTTCAATACAAGCTCCCACCTGTTGACAGAATTCAGATACGGAGCATTCATATTTGTAATAGCTGTTCAGTTAGCAATGTTGTAAATGAATCCCACAAAATCTCTTTCTGCATCTCCTATACCAAGAGGATTTGGAGACCCCTACTGCGGAGAATCTTCCACATCCACTTCACTCAGAAGCAGGTTCACCAGCAGATCTCTTATTGGCAGAAACAAACATTCAATTGCAAACCCTTCCTAGGCATTGGAGATCACTCTCCCTTCACTGCTTTGGTCAATATGGCAGGAAAGGAATCATACGTGTTCAAAGGAATATCAAGCTAACCCAGCCAAATTCTTAGAGAAATACTATGGTGAGTCAAGCATGGAATTTCAAAAGATATTCCAGTTGCACCTAGCTCTTCCAAGGAAAGGACAATTTGCATAAGGTTGGAGCTTCAAGTTTCAAGTAGTACCCCAAGCTCATGAAGCCAGGTTAATCTAATGTATCTATTTATAATTTTGTACTAATCCAGCAGCTCACTTTTAGTGTAACAAACCAGCAAGGTTTGAACCATACCATATGGCTTTGATCATGTAACCTTTTTACATTTCTTCATTAAGAAGACTTAAACAGGATGGATACCAGCAAAGTCTGGCTCAACTGGTCAAAAAAAAAAGAAGAGATCTTGATGAATGCTTTCTCCAAGGAAAGCTTGAGCCTTTTAGTTCAACTTGAATTCATGCTCCTCTGGAGTTCTGAGTAAACTTTCAAGTGATAAAGGCATCAACCATTACTCTGTGGCACAGATATCGGATCAGAATGATAAAGCATGCTTTCAAGTGTCTTCGTTGAATTTTTTATCTTTGATAAGTTCATCATTGATTCTCAATTCATACACAAATCTGGCAGATGACTCAAAAACAATCTATCCTTTCAAAATTAGATCCCTTTTGGCTTTAAGATTGTCTAGTTAAAGATTAAAAAGAAAAATCTTTACCTTCTCTTAAATTCTTTACCTTCTCTTCACCACTGTATGATGCTTAAAGAAGAAAATTCTTTACCTTCCCTTTACCACGGTATGATGCTTTCCAGATCCCAATTCTTGCTTAGCACTTGTAGCAAGTCTAAAGCTTTCAAATGTTTTCTTGGATGGCATCATACATGAGAAAAAATACTCTTTTATCCCTTTCCAGCTCTTCCTCGAAGTTACATTTGGAGAATTAGGAAAAGATCATTTTCGCAAGTTCCACAAACATCTTTTAACAAGATTTAACAAAACAAAATACCATTTGGAATAATTTATACAAAAATAGCGAACCAAGATGACAAATCACAAAATAATGACAACGTATTGAAAGGTCCTCTTTGCAATGCTCCAAACTCAAGGAGAATCAATAGGACAACTAAGTGTTCACTCAGTCATGAAATCTATTTTGCAGTTTCAACAACAAACCCAAAAGCAAATCAACAAATAATCTTTAGGATAATCTGAATATCAAGTTCTCACACCACCAACAGGGAAAAAAAGGCTCAATATGCCTAAATCAGATAAAAGCATGCAGCTAAAACCCATTCTGGAGTTTTTTTATTTAATAATTATCGAAATACTGAAGCATTGCTTCTGCAATACTCAATATTCAGTTGCAGTTGCAAAAATAGACACTTATCTGATTGTCTTGGAGTAGGATAATTGCTTGTATGTATATATAGATGCTAGAAACAGTTTCCAGAGCTATTCTAGAACAGTTGTGAAAGTATATATGTGATTTCTTTATAGCTCTTATAAGAAGTACGATTTCAGATACATGACCATAGAAAACTTTAAAATGAAAGCTACAAGGAAAAAATTAATTCCAGTACTAGAAAATACCATGCACCCCATCAACATCCTGCAACTCCTCAACATATTAGTTCTTCCTTAAGAATCTTTGATTCTTATAGACATCTGAAATTACTTTAACAATGCCCAACTTACATGAATGCTTTTGAGAAGCACCTAAACAAGTATCTCTCAAATTGCTAAGGGTTTATTCTTTTAATTTGTTCTTTATAAGCATACAAACTGTCATTGGAGTTACAATTTCTATCTTTTTTTTGCCATCACCTAAACCAGCATGCTAAAACAATTGATGGTTAGCTAGGCCAGCCACCTAAACAAAATCATCAAATGAGTAAACACTTCTACTTATAGGTAAGTGTTTAAAATAGATGCATACAATTCCCAACTGTTGCACTAAGAAGCAGAACATAAACAGGTGCAATCACCTCTTTCAGTTGATCCAACGTACTCGAAAACCAAATCCCTGTCAGTCTGGGACAATGTACGCAACCAAGAATGCACTTTCTCTACATCTTCAGACCTTCTTGCAAACTTTTCTACACAGAAGAAACACAAATGTAAATCGATGCGTGGAAATCATATAATCCGAGATTGAGAAATCCAAAAGCATAGAGAAACAAGGGCAGAATTATAGAAAGAATCATACCATCTCTGTGAAAGGAAAAGTATACAATGAGACTATTTCTCATTCTTTTATGTGAAAATCCATAAAAGAAAGAGAAAAAAAAAACACAAATCTATGCATGGAATTAAGCAACCATCATAGAGTGAGAAACCCAAAAAGAAATTTGACCTGGAATTAACTTCCTAAATGGAGAAACCTAAGCACCAAGCCAAACAGTAATACAAATTGACTTTCATAGACTGAGATACCTAAAAAATATTTGGAATAAAGTTGCTTACTTCCTGGAATTAACTTCCTCAACAACAATTCTATCCAATTCCTGAAACCCAAGTTCCTATCTGGTCCAAGTTCTTCCTGTCCTGTGATAAGGACCTCATGAGCAGTCTCCTCTTTGAAGAAGCCATTGTAAGACAAAACTTTGGTAATACCACTGATTCCCATGAGAAGCTCGTGACTTTGTAGAGAGGGAAAGAGTGAAAGTTGCAGGGGAGAATTATGGGCGGCATTGAAGTAAGAGACGAAGCCGTCTCTCTTCTGGAGTGATGACAGTTAGGAGCCAACTACCCTCGCTTGATAAGACTGTTAGTTGAACTTCGGTTTCGACCTCTTTCCCCCTCTCGTTTTGTTGGCATTCATAGCAAGTGAACGCTTCAATCATATAGTCATTATTATAAGTGCTTAAGAAAGAAAGAAAAGCTTTTTTTAGGTTCGTACTTAGATTGAGGAGGTTCCATCCCATCCCCAAAATTTTAAAAGAAAATTGCAAATGCCCCCAATTTGGACAGTGCCCCAACCAATTTTTTTATCACAAGTTTTACTCCAAAACAAATTAGTAAAAATGCTTTTATCTGTACACGATGATGTCACATCCCGTAAGATGTTCAACGACTTGAAAGAGTGTTAGGTCGAATCCACAAAGTATCGGACCGAGTGGAGACATTGTCGAACCACACTTTGGCCCTATTACTGGACCACATGGCCTGTTGCAGCATGGGCCTGTTGTTGGACCACATGGGTCGGTTGCTGGACCACTCTTTGGCAGTGCCAGGCGCATGGGCCTATTGTCAAACCATTCTTTGGCAACACCAGACCGCTATGGGACATTGCCGGACCGCTTCTTTAATTAGTCGGACCGTCTTTTCTAATGTTAATGGAAAAGTTAAGTAGTCCGTGTTAGAAGAGGGAGATGGCATTTTGGTCCTAAAAATTATCACTTTTTGACTTGGAGGTATTTGTTAGACAAGTTTGTTTTGGGGTAGAAATTGTGATAAAAAATTGTTTGGGCGAGATTATAAAGAAAGTTAGGTCAGGCTTTTTTTTCTTTTTGGTAATTTATCCAAATTTTAATGTCTTTACAGCTTTTTAATGTCAAATGAGGTGTACTATTCAACTATTGCTCCCATTCCAAAAATCTATCATAGAAGATGTCATATGCATATTAAGTCACTCTATATGTTATCCTAGAAAATGATTTGGGATGTCGGACTTTAATGTCAAATGAGGTGTACTATTCAACTACTGTTCCCATTTCAAAAATCTATCATATAAGATGTCATATGCATATTAAGTCACTATATATGTTATCCTAGAAAATGATTTGGGATGTCCGACACTTTTTAAGTCACTCTAGGTTAGGTCAAAAATCCATTTTTAAGATGAATTTTTAAGGAAAAACTGGATTTCCGCATTTGCTAACACACCCAAACTCCATTGCAAACGCTCTTATCTAAAAGAATTGCCAAATAGAGTTGAGCACTTATGTGCTTTTGTAGGAGCATATTGTTCATCTACTCGCTCAATCAAAATACATTTCCAACCTTTATTGCTTATAAAAGAAATTTTAAACGCGATTTTTCAAAAAAATTGGAGTTTTTCTTGGCAAACATTTAAAAGCATTATCTTATAAAAAAATCAGGAAAATAAAATGCAACTTATTTAAGGAAAACGTTTTAAAGGCGTTTTGTTTTATTTATTTTTATTTTTATTTTTTTATTGGCCCAAAAAAATTAGAAAAAAAAGTTAATATATTAGAAAAAAAAAGTTAATATATTAGAAAAAAAATTGGAAAGTGGGTGGGGCTTAAAAACTTTTCGTTGGTGGAGGTATTCAAATGGGGTGCGCTGCGACCTCTCTTCAAAAAAAAAATTAAAAATTTGGAACTTTTACTTTTAAAAAAATATTAAAAATTATTTCTTTTGGAAGGTGAACACCGCTCATGTTAAAGGAAAACTTTACATGGACCCCCCTCGAAAATAAAGTATACGTTACCCTTGTTCTTAGGCATCTGATCTGAGTAGATGAAAGGACTTTATGATAAAGCATGATGTATATATAATTAAAAAATTCTTTACCTCTACACCGGCGATATCACTTACAATGTCCAATTATAATCAAAGCACTCTTGAAATAAATAAAATAAAAATAAAATCGATTTTCAATTGCTACATCTTCAAATACAATTCTTTATTCAAGAAACAAAACTAGAATTTATTGCTTTATGGGAAGAGAAGTAAATATTTAAAAAGGTTAAATTGCCGGAGATTACCTCAACCGGGCTTAGTACATCCCACACCGAGTCTCCTCCTTTCGATGGTACTCGGGATCTATAATCGGTGTGTTGATTTTCCTATCGTGGCAAAAATCCGCTAAATGGCTTAATTTTGATCAAGCCTTTTAGCTTGATTTTAGAGAGATGAGAGATGAATATGAAGAGAGAAGGAGAGATCTACTAGCGAGGGGTTCTACCTTTTTGCCACCCCTAAAGAACAGAGGTGATGCGTACCATCAAAACATGGTGCAACTTTGAGAGAGATAAAAATTGAGGCATGCCTCCCTTTGGTAATCCAAAGCCCTTTCTAGAGAGAGCTAAATTGTTGAGTAGGAAGATAGAATTCTTAAAGAGAAAGAAGAGAATACGTATCTCATTTTATGAGGGGAAAACTTTTTTTATAGATTTTTTATGTCATAGATTTTACCTCAATTCGTAGAGTCAAATCTCAACCGTCGATCTAAGGAGACTTGTGGGGTGAGAGATTTGACCCATCAATCTCTTTGATCCACCATCAAGATTCAAATAGATGAGCTAGAGCCTTATCCTCTCTTTCCTAAATCTATTCCCATCAAATAAGAAAAGCTTATATTTTAATATATCAAATCCTCAATTATTAGATCAACCAATGTTGATTCAAAGATTTAGTAAATATCTCAAATATTCAACCTTATCATGGCTATACCCAAAAGATAAGCCAAAAAGGGATAGACATTCTTCCCAAGAAGAATATGTGAATGGGTAGGGCGTGCCACCCGTGTTGGCCCACGTAATTCACATTATTTAAATTTTGGGCCCCATATTTTATGGAGGTCCCATATATTTTTAGAAAATATTTTATTTCATATTTAGAATTTTTAAATATTATATTTTATTTAGAACATTGAAAAATTAGTTTTTTTTAATTTATAAATCTAAATGACAAAAATAAAATATCAGAAGATTCACAAAAATTCAAATATACATTCGAAAAATCACATAATATAAAATTAATTAATTTTGATGGAAATCAGATCGATTAGATCCAGGAAATTATCAATACAAGGGAGCACTTCACCTTCAACTGCGAATCACGATTCGCCTAGCTTTCTCAACTGACCCAACAGTTCTCATGACCCATAGTTCACTGTAGGGGCTCATGATTGGACCACAAAGTTAGCCAATAGACTAGGGGACACAATCCCAGCTTATGGATTTCTGGTTCTCCCATAGATACAAAATCATGGTCCTCCAAACCATGATGCAACTATGACTCTATGATGCATAGGGGTAATCTCTCGCACATGTACACGCTCGCCCTCATTGATGTATATCAAAACAGCTATTTATGTACATGCCGTGTGATGATATAACGATGAGGTTTTAGCCCTGCCTCTAAAGGCTATTCATCACACGTAAAGACTACACAGTCTTGTGGCTCTCATCTGGGCATACTCCGACTTCATCAAGGGATAACCCACTAAACCCTTCTCAGTAGATCCCTATGCCAAAGTATCTTTGGTTTTTTCAAACCTCGACTGACCTAGCTCGTCAAGCCTAGTTCCAGTATCAGCAAATAACATTTGCCTAGTATGGTCCACAAAAGGACTACACTCCCACTGAGTTTATGTTCCATTATATAAAATGCTCATACAAGCTCTCATAAGGCCTTTAAAGGCCACATAAATCCAACATCTCTCACTTGGCCTTTGAAAGCTTTACATTCTCTCTTCCTCACTTTTCTCATCCCCATTTGTCTCTCCTAATAATAATTTCTCTCAATACATTAATCATATCTTTCGCCATTAATCCTTTCACAAAAGGACTCACAGAGGCAACTCCTCTTTCTCTTTGCTGCTCGGATCTCATTCCGAAAGTGGTCGTAGTCCATCTTTCATATCGCATCACGAATCATAGACCTACTGTCACAAATAATCATCACGTATCCTGATCGCATGGGATCATATCTTCATTGGCTTAAAGGAGTTCTTCAAGCAAGCCGCTTCTTTCTGTAGCCATACAACCAGCGCCACACATCTAGGTTCCATAGGTGAACAACACCATAATCTGTTGTTCCAGCTGGCTTGCCAAACACTAGGTACTCCCACTGGAATATTTAGTTTATATGCTTGGAGTTATTATGGAATCGTGACTACCTTTTACATCTTTATCACAGCCGTGTTGTCGCAGAAAACCTCACTGCCTCACAACGCACGGGTTGAAAGTCAAATCAATTGAGAAATTTCTTAATCCATACGGCCTCCTTGGCCACCAAAAGCACGCCATGTATTCTGCCTCTAGGATGGACAATGCCACCGCATCCTGTTTCTTTGATTTTTAAGAAGTAGTTCTCCCTCCAAGCATGACCACATATCCAGATGTAGACTTTATATCATCTGAATCCTTGAGATAACTTGCATCTGTATATTTGAATATCCAAACAACTAAAAAAAACGTGGGACTGTAGCAACTCCCCCTCAATTATTGCACATACAATATATACATTCTCAACATTCTTATGTCTATATCATGATGTAGCATAGCAAGTCTTATGCAATATGTAATTCAATGCCCATTGGTTTCACAATATTTAAAACCTTTATAAACCACAAAGGTTCAACCACACTAGTCATCTTGGTAGTAAATCCATACAAACCAAGTTATCTAATCAATATAACATGTGTCAAAGAAGCCTAGCAAGATAGCTTTCCTACAACATTCTATATGGTTCAAGGTCTTAGCTAATTGAGGATCTAAATAACTACAAACATGAGTCAAGGCATATGGGTATTTAAAAATCTATACATGACAATTTTTCTCTCAATTTTATAAATACCTTGAAGGCATAATGGTTTTCTCCCTTTTAAAAATAATTGACTTGGTATACACAAGCAATGGTTAGATAATAGTATGACGGTATAAAATGATTTTTCATAAAGAATTAGTGGATCTAATATGACTAAAGGGTTTTCTTAAAACATCTAATTTAATATTATAATATATGTTTAGTCTTCAAAAATTATTTTACCGGATTCACCTACCAAGTCATGTTTACAGCTATAAAAACAAGCCATAAAGTCCATATTA